CCTCCATAAAATGCGTTGCACAAATTCGAACATCTGGGTTGTGCTGTTCTGTTGTAAATAAATCTTAACCAATGATTTCTCATTGCATCTACTTTCGGAAGGCCAAAGAAGTGCTTTTGCTTTCGCACAGAAACACACAGCGTCTCCCTGACATGGCTGCATCAACACTACTGCGGTCCCTGAAACCACGCCTTCTTTCTTTGCATGAACATTTGAACATTACGCAAATATTTCCACATCACCAGCTACATAACACACTAAAGAAAAGGTTTTAAATTTGAATCCCATTCCGCGAATTTCACACATCACAAATTATTTCATTTGCATAATGCCCGCCTACGTTCTGCGTGGACATCCCGCGAAAACAAACTTCAAACGCTGTAGCTCATTTGTGTAGATAATGTAACGTCGAGAAGATGCTGTGATCTGCGCTGTGAAAGTGAATTCAGTTTATTTTCACTTCCAAAGGATGAAGCTGTGAAGAATCAGTGGTTAAAATTTATCTTTAGTAAGATACCACGGCAGTATAATCAAAGTTTTGCTGTGTTCTCGTCATTTCACTGATGACTACGTCTCCAATCTCCGCGAGTTCAATGCGGGATTTGTAAACTAGTTGTCTTTGAAAGATGGGTCAGTGCCCAGTTTGTTTGAACCAGCTTGCTCCTCCGAATCACAACCTGTAAGTATGATTAATAATTGCTGCTTTGATGTTCTGTCGAGCGTACAAAATATATAGTTGTGTATACAGTCTCCAGCTAACTCACACTATAGTTCTGCTAATCAGCTGTGGGCCTGCTATTGTCTAGAAATGTGTGGATTAATACAGAATGTCTGACGTTCCTATTACTTGGAGTCATGATAAAGGATGGAGCAATACATTGGTTTACAAACTGCAGTGCTTTATCAGTACTCTTTGTCTGTGTTCGGCTAACACATGTACCATTATTGTTTGGGTCTTTACTACCAAGATGTGGGTCTGGTTCGCTAACATAAGTGTAAAACAACTTTTTCCCCTCCGATTCTTTCTTTTTAGAACAGAGTGGAGCACTATCATTATAATAATAAGATGAATTATTGATAAGCTGTATTCCAGTACTGGTGATGGGCGTTCCCTTTTCCGACATGCTCTGTACGCAGTAGACCAATCACAACAGACTGGGTCACCGGACCAATCAGAGCAGAGCAACCTAATGCAAAGGATGGGTTTGCAAAGATGAATCTTCGAACAAATCGTTTGAGAGTTGTTGAGAAATAACGTAAAATTTAATGCATATTATAAGAAAATTAAAGTGTTTTTTTTTTTTTTTTTTACCTTGAATGCATGTAAATCTGTTGTTGGGGACTCCCAAAACCAAATTATAAAATTTTTAAATAGCATAATAGGGGCACTTTAATTATGTAGCAGAGGGGGAGGAGCTATCAGATTTCTATGTAGGTGGACAAAATAGCCTTATATAATTAATTCACTAGACGGTTGACTACATAGTGCAGCATAGAATAAATGCATAGTGCATGGTGCATCATTTGGGATACAACTCAATGTAGTTTTTAGGTGGCTGCTAGGGTGTTGTTAAATGGTGGCCAGACAGTTACTATAGTATTCTATGTTCTAGGTGGTTGTTAGAGTGTTGTTAGGTGATTGTTGGCGTGTTCCATATGCCACGGCATTCCAAGGTTTGCCAAAGACAAAAAGAGCCCAATTCAAGTGTCCATGACATTGTGGTCTTTGCATATGGCTTGGGTCCCTCCTTTAATGTAAATATAAAAAAATGTTTAGCCTGTTTAAACATTTGTCAGGTGACAAACAGAAATAGTGCTGGATACATACATATATTTTTTAATGTAATATTTGTACAAAAAAGTTTTTCCTGTGTATGAGCAACAGTAATAAAAATTACTGCCTTAGCAAACACAACTAATGAAATCTTTATTTTCTAGTGGTTACCTGACAAAAGAGAAATTATTTCTTCTTACGAAAGTGTTGAGCGTGGTTTGGTGGCAGTTTGTGAGACGTCAGCAGGATGCACAAAATTGATCACACGTTAAAGTGCCTGTTCAAATGGTGATGCTGCCCTCCGCCGGTCATTACTCTTGTTAAAGGATGCTTTCCAGCTGTTCACACTCGCTTTCCACTCACTCAAACACAAATACACACACACCGATGAACTCACAACGCGCACACCTGTGCAGGAGCTCAATAGCATGGATCGATGGCGTTTGATTGAGTGGGGCTGCAGTCCAGGGTTCAAGTCAAGATGACAGATGAGGTAGCCATAGGCAAATGAAGGTCACATGGGTGAATTGGATGTTTCTGTGTGTGTGTGTGACCACACACTAGCCTAGAAGGGGGTCAGAATATCAAATATCTTCCTCCATTCCACCCCGTTTCAGACTGACACTTCATCTATCAGTGTTGTAAGAGGGCACACTGCCGCCTGTCTGTGTGTCAGAGGGTACGACCGCACAAACCCTCCCCCCCCCGTCCCCTCATTATGCCAGTCCTTTCCTGGGGGAAACGTCACGCCAATTACGTACCTGATATTTTTTATCCATTATTAAAGTTGGAAAGTGTAATTTTTTTAAATCTTAAAATGCTTTCTCCTTTTTTAATATGCAGATTATGCACCTCTTGAGACAAGGGGAGGGAGGTTTACCTGCACAGTTCTTACCAGCTGGCCTCCATCTCAACCCCTTAAACCAAACTCCCAACCGGGTCATGGCACCAATTTAACTGGTCTTAATTCACACTGCTTCATGAGGGATTCGAAGCAGCATCAGTCAGCATGAGAGGCAGGGGAGTGGAGTGAGGGTTATATACACGGCTCTTCTTGGCTCTTCTTAGGCCAGAAAACTGACACTACATTCACAACAGTTTTAGGCTCAAAATATTCTATGCAAGTATGTGAACAGAAACACTTCTAGCTATGCAAGCCCCATATCATGTGTGACTGGATCCCGAAATGTGTCAGAACACAACTGCGTAATACAATGTGTCATACTGTCTGCACTTATGGTTTTAATTTACCATTATTACTATTTTTTTTTACAAAAACATTTTCTATTCTGAACCCTGTTTATAGAGCACAAAGTTAAATAAAGAAAGAGCTTTAATGACAGCTGGCATGGACAAAACAGCATGATTCGGGAATGTTCCAAAGAGCATCTTGTGCGATTCAAAATAAGCAAGTGAATAAGATTCAAGGTGGTTCAAGGGTCTGTCTAACAGATACAGGGTTTGCTCATTCACTGATTCAGGTTTTGCACAACCACTGAAATGGTTTAATGTACCATACGTTTTCATTCGACTGGACCTCTGAGCTTCCAGGCAGAAGTCATCCTGGAAGTCATTAGTAGGAAGCCTAATTACTTATAAATGTGTATTTATGTAGAATGCATTATGTATTCTTTGATTCATCTTGTAATGGATGTACGCTGTAGTTCTCTAATGAGCTTGACCATTTGAAGCAGGACTTCACTGTGCGCTGAGATTGTTCCACTTACTGAGAGCAGCTTCCATGTGATTGGGCGCACCTGCCGTGGAATTCCAGACCAGCTCAACTTCCGAAGCTCCTCTGAGGAAACAAACGATTTTTATTAGAGAGAAAGTCACTTCTCAAAGTAATAGTATGAGTTTCTTCATCATGAATTGACTAAATTATTAATAATCCTTCCAATCAAGATTTTGCAGGACTCTTTTCAGTCATTTCAAAATTATTCTAACAATGAATAACGTGAACTATGAATTATTTACAATAAGACCATGGAAGTGTTTAAAACAAGGGTGTAATTTTGATTCATGCTGACTTGAAAAAAATGCAAACAGGTCTTGATAACACTAGTCCTGGTCATGGTGCTCTTTAAAACATTCTTACATAAACTGTCCCACTGAATTGAATGGCAATTTATGCAAGAATACTTATACAAATGACTTCTGCTGAAAGTTGTTCTGCTCGTTTTTCCTGTACGAGGCCCAGCTGTGCACATGCTTATTTCAGCGAGTGCCGACCAGTTATCATCTTGGAAATAAACACAGCTATTCTGTATTGAGTTCAGTTTTGTACGAGCAAATTTTTACCTTCCTTTTCTGATCAAGAAAGATGAAGAAATAAGTTAAAAATATGGCTGCTTTGTCATCAGAAATAGAGTGCATACAGAAATTAGTGCAGTCTACATACAGTATACATACTGCAAAAAAAGTATAACTGTAGTATTTAATTCAAATATCCGCTGATATGTTCAGAATAGCAAATACACTACAAATATGGTGACATCAAGGCATCTCTGATAAGTGGTTTTCAACATATAATTATTTGAGATGCACTAATCTGACATATTTAATAGTGTGGATAGCCTGCAAAACAGGATCACATTTGAAATCTATGGGCACACCATGCTTTCAATAAGCACTGCATAAGTGTGTATTTGTGAACACAAGAGTGCTAACGTAAATAAATCTCAGTGAGGCAAATTTGACTTTTAAAATGGGCAAAGAGTCCCTGCAGAGCCTTAAAAGAGTGAACAAGCACTTTAATACCAAATATTTCTCATTTCATATCTGTATCGCATATTTCAAGGGTTGATGGCAGCAATCATAATGTGTTGAATGTGGATTAGTCATTTCTCAGGGCCTTGACAACAGGCTGCAGTGTAATGTGCATACATTTAATTTGACATCAAAGATAAATCAAAATTTTAAATCAAGAGGTTGGTTTAAAAATTCAAACAATAGACGAAATGTGCCATGAATACAAGAGCCTTCTGGGGAAAGCGTTTTTATTTTCCTGAAAACTAACCTTTCTGATATCAGAGCTTGATGCTTCTTGTGCAGTTTCTTTGCCAGAGCAAAATGAAGACTGAAGCGAATAAATAATGAATAGTGTTGTTATGACTGCCATGCAAATATGAGTGACTGTGAAAACATAAACATGGTCTCCTTATTCACACATCATTCATTATTATAGATGGCAAGCCTATTTGCAGAGACACCTCAAAGGTTTATGCTATCAAGCGTATTTCCACTCAGCTCTAAAATGATAATTTTGACTAAATTATTTCTTGAATTACATCACAGGGACCACCCAGACTTTTATTTGATCTAATCTGCAAAAGGAAATCTTTCAGAAAACATGAGTATGATATATTATGTTATAACATATCTCAACACGTATTCCGTATGTATAATTTAACTTGAGGTGGCATTTATTTATCTTTTTTTTTTTTATGTGCCCTTGTTACATGTTACATACTGCATATACCAAAGTAATAACAGTAAATGATGCACAATTGCAAGCAACAAAGCCCTTACCTATTGTATGCTTATTAATACGATTCATACATAATTGTGATTTGTGGAATTACACTTTAACAAGGACAAATTAAAATAAAGTGTGACCATTGATATTAACAATTAATATAATAATACAGGTGTTTCTGCGAATAGTTTCCCAGAAAACAATGGGGAAAAATACTGGAAAATTGTCTATAAATTCTGTGAACAGAATATTTGTCCACCCAAAAGTAATAATTACAGATTATTTCACAGAAAAAAAAAGCAAATATGCAGTTCTGCTTGTGGAAATCGAGTCATTGTAACTTTAAGTGCCTTTGTTTCCAGGCAGACTGATAATGGGACCTGTCTCCTTACACCTGGAAGTTCATCCAGACAATGGGAAAAAGTGATTTAGCTAGGGCTAGGCGATTTTCCCGATTTTATCGATTAATTCAATTTTTAATAGAAATATTACCAAATGTTAGAATTAGACACTTTGACAATATGCCGGTGATAACAGTAAAGAGAAACGAATGATCCAACCGCATGTCGGCGCACGTGATTAACCGCTTACGCGTGACGCGCTCTGTGAAGTACCATTAATATAGCGCTAAGCGCCATTCACATAGAATGCGCTTTTGTGTTGACAAAGATGCGACGCGGGCAGTGGAATAGGTAAAAAAGCAAGAAGATTGGGAGTGAAC